TACCCCTGCCGGCCCCGCCGTCGGAAGGTTTGGCTGGCGGCGGAGGCGAGCAGTAACAGGGTTTCCATTCTGACTCGAAGAAGAAGTCTAGTGCCTTATAGGTGAAGCAAAGCAAGAAATCCACAATGTCGAGGAAAGAGAAGACGATGAAGCCCACAATGCGGTTGAGCCACCGCGAAACGCCCATGCTGCGGTGGAGCTGATGGCAGTGTTTGTGGCGTTTAAGTCTTGTGGGCATGTGAGCGTGACGGACAATACAAATTAGGCAATTGTAGAGAGTGAGAGGGAGAGAGAGAGAGAGTTATAAATTAATGAAGAGAGAGGGGTAATAACAGATGGCAGATGCATGAATTTATTGTAACATTTAAAATCCTTTGTTGGCCAAAGTGATGAATTGGGTGGGCGTTGAATCCCTCTCTGTAAGTAATTCCCCAGTCGGGGCAAGTGCACCACATACACTTATAATACATGTACCCCACCTCCCCTTTTTTAATTACCTCCAATATATTAAACTTTCAAAAATGGAAAATATACAACTGATTATATTTACAAATACGCCGTATGTATGCTGTAGTTAAAACCAATAATATGAAAACGCATACATATCCTGTCTTCGATCTACTCGGATAATACATTCTACAACTTATCAAAACATATATAAAACAGTAGATAACCGGATATAACTTCAAGACGTGATGAATACTTTTTTAAAAGTGTTATTCTATCCCTACCGGGTAAATGGAATTACAGAAATACATATTTGAGATACAATGAAACGACAATGATTTCGGTTTATCCTTCCGATAATCATCAAATAGATAGAACTTGTTTAACCGAAAACAAAGAAACTCTCGCGCATAGTTTTCTGCAGAAAAACGATTCGTAAGAACACTCAAATATCTCACAAAATCGTTTAGATCTTATCACAAATCCGTGTGTTTTATATTCTTCTTGTTGTTACTCGTATTATGTGGCGTCTAGTGTGTTTATAAATACCAAAACGTCGAAAAAATATGAAAACTCGGAAGTTTTCACCGATCGGTCGCGATATTTCGTTCAAACGGTCATTCAGAAACCGAATGTAAATTCTGTCGACAAATCATAACACTTTAAACCAATTCACCACCATACTCATAATACATATGTATCATGAATCCCAATTTACATCAAAACCAATCACCGTTTATTCTCGAATACATGCATGTATGATGGGAGACTTTTCGTGTTCGGGCATTGACTATGCAATGTGGATTTTTTGGTGCGAGTAAAATTAAAATCCAACAGTCCAATGTCGGTAGAATGAGAATAAAATATTAGGAACAAAAAGATGAATGGAAGGGGGAGGAGTGACATGTGGCATTAAAATTTGTCAATCACATCCAACGGATGCCGACCCATCAGGACAGCATAGCCGTCCTATTATTAAACAGACCCTCCGATGACATGTTCCAAGCACTGTTGGAAATTTTCTTACTCTTTACTTTGTAAGACCAACCCATCGAATTATATATAAAATGGATTTTTTTTTTTGTGAAATTGTTTAATCACACTTATTATCTATTGTTCTAGAACTCCAACAATTGAGTTTATATATTATTATTCTCTATAATCGCTACTTTTTCCATTAAAATAACGCTCTTTACGCATTTCTATATCATTTTAAAAATCCATAATTAAAGAAATCTTATTTCATTTTTTTCACGCTAACTCAAAAACTGGCGGGCTCTTAATTTTCCATTAAAAATTACAATTTTTACACTTTTGTATGATTTAAATAGTTTTTTATATATTCTATTCAACTTAGATAGTGAGAGAGAAATAACTTCTTTAAAAGAAATATATTTTGGAGTGGGTTCTGTGTTTTGAAAAATTAGGTTTAACAAATTATGTTTAACTTTTGTATGATTTGGTGTATTATGTGTAAATATTGGAATTATCTTTTTAATGATAGATATGATGTATGGTTTGATTATGTATAATGAAAGTTATTGAATTTGTACGATTAACTAAAAATAAAATAAAAATATCATACAAAAAAAAAATAAAAAAAATAAAAAATAGAAAGCTAAAAAAAGATATAAAATCACACCAACAGGCAACAGGGTCACGCTCAAAAAAATCTGGATTATATGAGGTATACAGAGAAAAGAAATGAAAAAAAAAAAAGAGAGTATAAATCTATCTATCTATGCCTAACTAAGAACTTAGAGCCATGCTGCATGTTGCGAGTTAATTTGAGAAGTGGTACATATATGTATATGTTTTTTGTTAAAGTGGTGCATATGTGTGAAGAAGGGAACCTCTATATATATATATCTTTGCATATTTTTGGATCCTTTGGTTGATGTTGGAAACAACAACCATCTCTATATACATTATTAAATAATGGCTGATGACGTTGACCCTGGGCGCATTCAGCAATGGCCGCACATCATTGGGGGTGTGTTCCATTTAATCACTCCAAGTGCGTTTTATCATGGATACAAAAACTCGATATGAGATAGAAAAAAACCAAATGAAAAGAATAATAGTAGACCACAAGAAAATAAATGAACGAGCCCACATGCAATAGTAATGGTTTTTCTACTGACAGGTGAAAAGGTCAACGAGTCGAGTTGGAAAAGTATGAGAAGCCATAAATGGGGTTCGGTAGGGGGCAAGACATTAACTTATGGGTCGTCTTCCTCTGCGAATATCACGCACTCCTCGAAGGTGCTACTGGTTCGGTCACATCACCTCCTTCCTACGGGTACCCGTAAAACCCTAATTCAGAACTGCTAATTAAGTTGGTTCAATCCGAAAGCAATATGATCACGGTAACGAAACATCGGAAAGCATAGGAGCAAAGTCATCACCACCTCCTCCTCGGTACGTAGGGGCTTAAAATTCCATGATTTCGGGTTCCCAAGGTTCATTCGTTTTCCACTTTTGGTTGGCGACAAGAGAAATATTTTTTTTTATATGATGTATGGGTTTTGACGGTGACACGACATGGGCTTAAATTTGAGGTAATGGTACCGGCCCAATACCAATGAGTTGGGCCTCATGATTCAAATAGCAGGTTCAGTGGCCATCAATTTGGCCCAAGCGACGGGCTTTACCACATTCCCTTCTTCTAGTCAACGTACACTTGGCGGGTTGAGAATCTGGCTGTTCTCGGGGCTTTTATGAAGGATCCCAGACTCACTCGCTCTGTTTGAAAGAAACCGAACAAGCGATTAGAGCGGCCACTGAACCAAAATGGCCGAATTTACTAATGGAAAGAGACGGCAAGTGAAATCATGAACAACTTTTCATGAGAAAGAATAAGAGCCTCAAAGCAGAAAACGAATACAAATGGACCACAAATGAAGACGTTGCATCGGAGGGGGAATATGAAGCGTTTTGACCATCACGGTCACATGATTTGTAACACCTACAGTTGGCCCAATTAATTTGAGTTGTTTTGTAATGATGGCTGCTGCGGTTTATAACAATTTTTGTCTTTTCAACGAATAAAACTGTGGAGGCGTGAGTGAAGGGAAGCACCCCGTGAACACGAGAAAGACAAAACACAAGTGTCCATACGACAACATTCCGCCATCAATTACGGGTATCCGAAGCCCCCTCGCAGTTTTTTGTTGAAAATTACGCAAAAGTTGTCACATGTACATCCATTTCTTCTTCTTCTTCTTATCGTAGGGATAAAGTTTCAGGCTTTCAGATATCCGAGAGGGGGGAGTCCCCACAATAGTAAGTTCCAAAATGTGGGCAGTAGAACCCGTGTCAGCTCCATGATCCGAGTTGAAAATGGTTTTTCGTTTAATAGAGAACCCACATGATTAACCATTAGTCTCTATATGAAAAACATTTCCCAGTCGCCTATAAATGCCGTTTCCCACTCTTGTGCATTTTAAAGAAACAAAAACAATGAAGAGAGGGGCTGTGATTGTGGTGGTGACGATAATATGGAGTTTGGTAATAAAGGGAGGGAGGGGGTTCACGTCTCAGGATTACAGGGATGCCCTGGAGAAGTCTATCCTCTTCTTCGAGGGGCAGAGGTCTGGCAGGTTGCCCCCTGATCAGCGCCTTTCTTGGAGGGGTCATTCCGCTTTATCCGATGGCTCGTCCTACCATGTACACTCCTCTCTTGTCTTCTTCCTTGTTCCTTCTTTGTTGGCCTGCGTGCATGGTAACAACAAACAATGCTGTTTTTTTTTTGCTGGGTGGGTAGGTGGATCTAGTAGGAGGGTACTATGATGCAGGGGACAATGTGAAGTTTGGACTGCCGATGGCGTTCACGGTGACAATGTTGGCATGGAGCGTCATTGAGTTTGGTGAATCAATGGGCGGACAGGTTGAGAATGCGAGAGCCGCCATCCGTTGGGGCTCCGACTATCTTCTCAAGGCCTCTACTTCCACCCCCGACTCCTTGTACGTCCAAGTGGGAGACCCGAATATGGAGCACAGGTGCTGGGAGAGGCCAGAGGATATGGACACACCTCGGACAGTGTTCAAGATCTCGACGCAGAACCCTGGCTCTGACGTGGCTGCTGAGACCGCTGCTGCTCTGGCTGCTTCCTCCATTGTCTTCAAACATTCGGACCCTTCCTACTCTTCTAAGCTTCTCACCGCCTCCATCCAGGTGTTTGACTTTGCCGATAGGCACAGAGGCTCTTACAGCAGCTCCCTTGGCTCGGCGGTCTGTCCCTTTTACTGCTCTTATTCCGGATATCAGGTACGAAACCCCCAAAACTCCAAAAAGGGTAAATCTATACATATTGGTATATTTAGATGCTGTTGGGAAAATTTTGGAAGGATGAGCTGCTGTGGGGAGCAGCATGGGTCTACAGGGCCTCAAACAACAACTCCTACTCCAAGTACATCGGATCAAACGGGCAGCTGATGGGAGCAAACGATGACGACTACTCCTTCAGCTGGGATGACAAGAGACCCGCCACCAAAGTTCTTCTCTCCAAGGCAAACCCTACATACATATATACACACACACACTCTT